AGCGGTGTGCAGCACAAGTGGCTATGGATGACGCTGAAAGTCCTGGGTCTGTACCTCCCACCCCGGTCCGTGCCTCACCTCCTTTATTGTTCCACTTTATTCATCTTCATCGAGCTGTATCGCCGGGTTCTCCTTTCCTGGTATCGCATGCGTACCGTTTCGGATTACAATGCCAATGCTGCAGATATGACTGCGTACCTCAAGATGACCTGGGTGTACATCGAGTGCCTCCTCGCGACGTGCCTTCTCCTCATCATCATCCCCTTCTATATGTCCTATGGAGCGTTTGATAAAGCGTGGATGGGTTCTCTAAATGAACTCCGTCTCATTGGCATTCAACATGACACCCCAGGGAAACAGTGGAAATTTGGCCTAATGTTGACCGCTTTGACCGTCGTCACGATGATGGCTCCACTGGCTACCTGCTTCGTCAAACAGGATCCTCAGGAGCTCTGGTTGAGGGTGAGTCTGGTCTGGAGCACAATGAAGTACTCGACGATCCTGGATCCTCTGTTTTGCTACTTCGCAAAGGATGTCGCCGACCTCTTGAAGACCATCTCTGACTCCGTGCGTGCCGGTTCCTGCACGCCGTCCCAAGCGGTCTACGCCGTGTCCGTCGTTGAGGACAACGTTCGCGCTCTAAATAGCGTATTCGGGAAGAATCGTCTTCTAGTCATTCTGTTCAACCTCTACAACTTCATTTATACATTCTACTGGGTCATCTTTGACGTATCTATTCAACCATTTCAATTCACGATGTTAGTGGCCCTCCCATTCTTATTCATCTGGCTCCTCCTCTGCTGCAGCCTTGGGGAACGCATCAAACACGAGGTATAGTCAAGAATCTACTTGGAGTAGGTACATCGAAACCATATACCAATTTTCCTCTGTTTTTTAAGTGGCATAAGCGCACGAGTGTAACTTCCATTTTCATCTGTATACGTGCATTGGTATATTCTCGACAAGTCAATAAAAATTCAAATACCACCAGTAATTTGGAGAATATAGGTAATTTCCATGCCCAGAATGTAACTGCACCAAAATATTTTTTCGGAAAATCCTTTTTCTCTCCTTATCAGGTACAGGAGCTGGCCTCGCTTCTTCGTAAAGGGGCGGTTACCCAAGAGATTGAGAAGGGAAAAGCGGAGGTAAGCTTTCGTTTCCCCCGAGTTCTACGTATACCTATAAAAACATCACGTTGACTAAGTAGATTATATGAGACTAACAGAGGCACCCGGCGTTGCACGAGTGAATATTGCATACGTCCCATATTTGTCTGTACTAAATAAGGTAACTCGGGGGGGGGGGGGGCGGATTTAGGGACCGGCGACTCAGGTGACTGCCTGGGGCGCATTTGATCTAGGGCCAGTGCCGTATATTTGTCCCCCCCCCCTTCCTCCCTTATTGGAAATGGAGTTCGTTTCATGAAGTAGAATTGCGAGTTTGTTGATTACCATAAGAAAATGTAATATTTATTGTCAGATGCTTATCAAACGAAATCATAGCAGAACATCCCGCCAAGGAAGGTGTTTCTTCTTCCCTGCCTTCATGTCAACTGCCTCCATTAGCTTTTTACCTCCGGGGGCTTGAATCTTCGATGCGGCTTTCGAGGTTGCCCTGGGGAATCAACACTGGCTTAGCCGTTAGCAAGGCAGATGGAGGAGTAAAAGGAGCACTAAAAGGCACGCAAGAAATGGCCACTGAGGAACGAGGCGAACTCCCTTAATTTTCATTAAGGGAGGGGGGAAACAGATTAAGGGGGGATATATTACGACACCGGCTCTGCCCCGGGGGTCCGAATTTTAAACGCCGCCTAACCTATGACCATCTCCAGACAAAATGAGGGAGTCATATAAAGTTTGGTTGACTGGGATCATAGGCATGGCCGTGCATAGAGGAGAGATTGAGAGATACACGAACATTCTGAAATATAGTATTGATTACGGACAGGGACTGAAATTGAATCATTGGTGCAAAGGGATTGATTTGGGTTAATTAGAGAAGAAAAAGTTGAAAATTCTGTCACGTTGGCAAACTTGGACCAAATTTACAATCAATATAATATCGACATTTTCATCACCCTATCAGATAGAGAGGGGGCTTCGGTCTAGCGAAAAAAATCATTGAATTTAATCCTATTCCCATGTACTTTTGAAACGCCTTGTATGTCTGGAATGCAGACTTTGCTGTGCGCATCATCATTGAGCGTGAACGCGATGGAATTGTCAGCCGGGGATTTCTTTCCCATCGACCGCAAGACCATCGTGTCGGTAAGACGTCCATTCCCTTCTTTGTCGATGCATTCCTCCGATGCGAAGAAAACGGATGCCTTCTTCGGCAGGTGGTGGGATTCGGCGTCACCAGTTTGGTGGTGCTCATTCAGTTCAGGTTGAGCAAGTGAGATTCTTCCCGGACGGACGATCATGAAGGAGGATCTTGCATTCGTCAGCGTTTTGATGACCGGAGTTCGTTAATAATCCCAAATAAATCATTCTTGAAAGCATTTCAGACTAATACGTTCCGTTCACGTGACGTTGCAACATGCCAGGACCGTAATATTGTCGAAGGTCGGGGCTCCTGCCTCTCTAATAATGGTTGAAAAATAGCATACTTTTATATGCTATTTTTGTATTTTGTATTTTTTCCCTTTCTGAGATTTCTCTACGCCCACACACCGGATTTTTCTTCTCCATATTTATTAGGAACTTTTTTCTCATTTTGAATAAGGAGCGTTTGCCCAAATATACATGCTAATCTACTGTGAAAAATAATTTAGTCAGGTTTTCATATGCCGAATCGGGAAAATTGGCGGATTGAGCCTTCGACCTTCAGCAAGGACCAGGAAATAGGTATTACTAGTCGAAGCCCGGATCCTCCGGGTCTAACCTTTATGGCTTTTGTACACATGAAATATCCTGCTCACATGGCTTATGTGCACACGAACTACCCTGTACTGATTTTTGATGTGAAAGAGGTTCCCACCAACCACCCAGTCTTTCTCAAAGACCACCTCAGTTTAAGTATTGCTGTATGAAGTTCTCATGAACCACCTGGATTTTCTTAAAGACATCCTCATGGAGAAGAAGCACGCTTTTTTAATGTGGGTCGCATCCACGGACAGAAGGCTTTATAGTACTTCTTTGTACACGGGATTTCGTGTGAACATTTTTTGGGATCTGGGCAAGAGTTGACCCTGCTTATCCGTAGTAAGAATCTTGACTTTGACATTGGTCTTAGAGCGAGCTCTTGAAAACGCAACATAAAGTTGGCCGTGTGTGAACACAGGTCCGGCCAGATAAATCCCAACTTTGGCAAAAGTTTGACCTTGCGATTTATTAATCGTCATGGCAAATGCCAGACGAAGCAGAAATTGCCTTCGCCGTAAGGTGAAAGGCATATCCGGATCGGAAGGAGC